ATGGCTATCTGAGAAAGGGAGCGCCTGGCTGGCCCTAGTGTGCTTCCAGCAGATGTAAGATTTCCAAACCTGAGAGCCCCAGTGGGACTCAGAACCCAAATAAAGCCTTCAATATTCAGCAAGGCAAAGAAGAAAGGCCTTCTAAATTTACCAAGACTACAAGATCAAATAAGAAAGTACTCTGGGCCAGACCCTGAGGACCTGTTGGGCCAAGAAATATTAAAAATTGCATTTTGTCTCCAGTTGACCTGACATCTCAAGAAAACTGCAAAGTTAGAGAACTGGAAGGACAGAAGTGCAGAAGAGCTGTTAAAAGAGGCTGAGAAGATCTATGTAGATAAAAAGAAGAAAGGCAAAAACAAAAAACTAACATAATGTTCACAACTGTAGAACAAATGGCCTAGGGAAGGGCTGGCCCAGAGGGCCAGAAACAGAAGCCACAACAGTAACCTTAGCATGTTATCTCTGAGGAAGATTGTAACAGTTTAAATCCAAGCCACTAGAAGCTGAGAACAGGATGCTGGGCTTGCTTCCTCCTCTCCCTGCCTTTACTCCAGCCTCATATGCATATACATAATTTTACAAAGTCTTTGGTAACTAAGAGACTTTGTATCATTGTTGGGTTAAATAATAAACATCTAAATATTATAAAATACTGAAACATTAACTGCTAGACACGTTTTAATTTGCCTGCTCTTAGTTTATATTACAGAAAGTCTCTTATACTTCATTGAAGGTATAATTTCTTGAAAGTAAGAGTGCATTTAAAGTGTGTTCATAAATGTTAATCTACGAAATGTTGGCTGTTTACTTTTTTTTTGGCTGTTTACTTTTTTGTTATCATTGAAAAATTAAGATTTCTAAGAGTGAAGAATTCTAATACATTTTAAAGGAGGAAAAAGAAAGAAAAAGTCTGTACAAGTTGCTGAAGGTATGACAGAAAGAAAGAATATTAGAGTAGTAATACTTATTGGAAGGACTGAGGCATGGGTATGCATTTTGAAGGAAGAAGAAGGTGATTTCTAAAGGTAGTTATTTCTGAAAGTTGTAATGTTTCTGAAAGTTGTAAGAATGTCTGTGGAAGTTATAGGAAGTTTGTAGAAAGAAATGTTAAAAGAAACTGATTAAATGGTACAGGCCAGTGAACCAGGACAAGCAGAACAGGGAAACATATTAAAACAGCAATTTGCAACCATCTAAAAAACTCTATCTTCCCTAAACCAAGGACACTTAAGAGTCAATGATTTGTATTTTGCCTCCCTGAACAAAGGGTAAATGGCTTATGTCAAAGTACTCAGGGAGACATGGGAGAAATCCAATTAGTGTCATTTGCTATCCACACCCAAGGACAAATGAAGTTAGAAAATAAGCCTCCTTTTGGTTAGTATTTTCTAATAAAACAATTATATTAATCAGATATTTAATAAAAAAGGACCATCTTTTAATCATGGGAACTGAAGTTTGCTAGCCTATGTTTCTGTCTAATACACTTTAATATATAATCTTTTGGTAAAATCAAGTTTGCCAATCCTTCAAGAGTTTGAATTTTAAGAAACTCTTTCTTGATCTAGAATTGGCTTTAGATCATCCCAATAGGCTCTGAAATACCTCAAATGTTTGTTTTCTCTCTCATGAAGGAAAGTTTTATATTGAAGGTACATAGGAACTTTTGTCAACAGTTATAACTAATGGTTATCTTTAATAATAAAAGTGTAATATGCTAATTAGACCAGATGTACTTCTGGATGCCCTGAAGCTGGGGCTGTGAGGGAAGCCCAGGTCCCAGGTGCCACAAGGTAGCCAGTGCTGGCAGCCGGAAGAAGAAAGGCCTACTCTTGCACGAATTTCATGCATTGAGCTTCTGGTTAGCTTTAATATTACTAGAGGCACAATGCAAAAAGATTCATGCAAGAACAGGTCTTCCTTCTCCTGGCTGCCAGCACCACCTTTACTCTGGCCAGAGCCAACATTCCACCTTCCCACTTTGCCTAGGGGCCAGGAGTGGCTGGGGTGGTGTGGAATGCCTGTGTTGTCACCGCGGCAATGACACAAGATTCCTGCCCTGCCTCCAGGCCACTCAGCACCTGTGTATGCAAATTAACCCACCATCTTTGTTGGGTTAATTTATATACTCACTCCTGATTGGCTGGTAGGCATCATGAAGGTACAGTCAATTTGCATCTTTCTCTTTTGTTAGTGTAGATAGAATGTTGGGTTTACAGAAAGGACAACATTCCATGTCATCTGCATTATAATGAAATCTCTAACCATGTCATTTTAATTTTCTTCTTGTCATTTGGTGACAGTTACTATTTTGTTATAATACATTTGGGAAAATATTACATCTTCTGAAGAGTCCATGGAAAGGACAGGCAAGGAAAATCAGAAGATCTTAAAGCAGTTTAGTACATTTTTCTCCCTATGTGATCCCTCCAAAATTGGCAATTCTTACTAAATGAATCATGGCAATCCATTTCTTTGCATAAATTCAATAAGACTGGTTTCCAGTGGTGGTTTTATTGACTGAAAACTTTTACTGGAGTGTCATGTTTTAGAGAGTCTGTCTGGACTCTGAAGACTTGAAGCCAATATGAGTGCCATGGAGAAAGCAACCATGGTATCTTGCTTGATAACCTGAAAATGGATGGCACTAGAGCATCAGGCCCATACTCTTCCATTGATGGCAGTTGGTCAGAGTGGAAGGGAAGTAACCAGGGTACCTCTGTGCCCCTAGGGAGCCCCCATGCTCTCTAGGCCGCAACAAGTAGGAGGGCTGCTGAGATGGGCCTTGAAGCCTAGGGTGCAAGTCTGGATGGAGCCACTGCAGGTACAGATCTTGGTGAGGAATTCACCTAACCCAGCAGATACTGCAGGCAAGCCTGATGGCAGCTGGATGGCTTAGCTTCCCAGTCCTTTGTGGCACCTTGAGACTCAATCATGAAATTCCAGCAAAGGTGGTCAGTTATCATTCTTGTGTTTATGCAAACAATCAGGTCAAATTGAATGCAATAGATAAATTGGTCTTAAATTGGCTCTTTAATAAACATAAGGGTGATTTTTAAGGAGAAAAATTATATTTCAATAGGAGTCATTAGAACTGAAATGTTTTCTTTGCCTTCTACCAGATCATTTGTTGTAACTCTTGCTGTTCTAAGTGTTCGAAATACTAAATTTTATAATACAGTTTGTCTCTGCTAGGACACAAGTCCACCTCCTTCTGTGCCCAGGCCTCATCATCACTCTGACAGAGAGCAAGGATCTCTTGGCTCTGAAAGAAAACTTTGTTCCTCTTCAGCATGTAAATAGCCAGAGAAGCCCACCAACGCCCATTTTCCCTAAAAGAATTCAGAGCCAGAATACTTGAGGGAATGTCTTAGGCAGTTAGACAGACATGAGCAGAGCAAGGATTATGGGAAGAAATAGATGGAACCCTGAGATGTGCTTCTCACCACTTCAACTACTTTGAAGCCAGAAATGAAGAAACCTGTGTAGACTCATTCTCCCTTCTTCCAAGGTTTTAGAACAGCTAATAAGGATAGAATCAGTAAGCCCTGAAGCCCCAGATGTTACTCCAGACCAGATCTCTGGACTGCCATTACAATCTCTTGGGTGATGGTGAAAAATACTTCAGCTGCTAAGCACCCTACTCCCCAGGTTTAAGTCTTGTATTGAATCCCCAAGGCTGAAAATCAGCTTGAGGATCAAGGTGGGGGGGGGGGTGATAAGGAATATAAGGCATTTTGGGGGGAGATAGCAATCTGAATCTGTGCCAGTAACCTAATGTATGTTCCTGATAGCCTCTAATTAAGTCACTGTTCCTTTCTGAACAATCTGGTCTAGCAAGACCTATTTACCTAAATACTCCCATTTTACAGAGGCCATAAAACATAAACCATATACAACCCATGGAGTTTATCAGCGTTGGCGCCAGGCCAGGCCTTTGAATGTGGTCTCAAGTCCCCCATCCCAACACATGGGGCTTTTTACAAAGCCCGAGAAAGGTTCAGAAGCCTGATCCATATTTGGGAACAAAGAAACCAAAGGGTATAAACGAAAAGCTTCCTCCATATTCACTCACACAAGAATTTGGAGAACTGGTCCACTGAGTCATTGTACTAGTCCATCTGAAACATCTGAAAATAAATGGGTTTATCCTGGATCTCTGAGTACTCCCTGTGTATTTTTCAGTTGCCTGGTAAATTCTGTAACAATAGAGCAATGTATTATTGTGTAGCCAGGGCTTTCTGGAGAAGTTGAATTTTAAGAATTGTATTTTAGATCTTATATAAAATTCGTTTCTAAATTTAAGAAGAAGAAAAAAAACAGTATGGTATTAGCAGAAAAACAGACAGAAACCAATGGAACAGAATTGAAAGACCAGAAATAAAACAAGTGTATGACAATTTTCAGAGGGAAGGTGGAGGGTGAGGCGGGAAGAGATTAACCAAAGAACTTTTATGCATAACCCATGGACACAGACAACAGTGTGGTGAAGGCCTGGGAGGTGTTAGGAGTGGGGAGGAGATGGTCAATGGGGGAAAACTGGGGCTATTTATAATACTCTCAACAATAAATATTTAAAAAAACAAAACAACAACAATAAAGAGAAATGGTTTCATGATATCAAGTTTTGTCAAATGGTGTACAGAAGGACCAAAGACCTCCTTTTCTTGTTTTTGGAATAATAGAGATGATGAGTTTAATTTAAGATATGTTCTCTTAGGTCCTTGTAGGATATGTAGGTAGAGATAAGCTACAAAACTAATTTGGATATATAAATCTGGAGCTTATGAAAGATGTCCTCACCTATATGTTCACAGTTCTATGGTAGATTCTGAATTGTACCTGTGGTTTCAAAGAACAATTATTTTGACAATGGTCCATATTCACATTAAATATGGACCATTGTCAAAATAATTGTTCTGGTACAATTATCTAGTGCAAAGGTGTACCAGACTTCCTTACCCCATACCTGGGACAAACAAAGCAAGGAAAATTACCTTGGCCATTCCAACTGAACTGGCATTCAATTCTGAGATCCCTTGGTTGGTCTTGTCTCCACGTTCCCATATACCAAAGTCCTGCCATAAAATAACCAACATAACATTAGCAAGTCCTCACTACTAAATGCTTACTAGATGCACAACCCTTGAATAAAAGGCACACATAATAGCAAATTTGGCATACTTATGTGTACCTACAATACTGATTAAGGATATGCCAATGAGGTGCGTTGCCCAGTAAGTTTAAATTCTTGTGGGGCTTCCAAGAAGTTGGCAGACTCCTGAACAGTTGATCAGTACTAAGAACTGCAGTTTGGTCCATCTAGAGAGGGACTTCTTAAATTTTTCCATCAAAGCAGATACCCAAGGGTTCTAAGAAATGGAGCCTAATCCACACCCTGGTATTTTATTTTAACTATCCATTCTAATTTTACTCTATATTGGCATTGAAAATACTATGCACTCACCTATGCACTTTACACTATTATCTTCCTTAATCATTACATTTTATAGATGATAAAACAGCTGCAAAGACAGGTTAAGTGATTCACCCAAGGACACACAGCTAATAAGTGACAAAGCTAGGATAACAGTTCAAGTACTCTGATCCAAAGCCTACATTCTTAACCATTACTCTATATGGCCCCTAGAAAATATAAAGATAACAGTTAAAATTAATTTTAACAAACTTTATTTTGAAATAACTTTAGACTTCCAGAGAAGTTACAAAAATAGTACAGTGAGTTTCCATAAACCTTTACTTCAGCTTTCCTTAATGTTAACACCTGACATAACCATAGTACAACTGTCAAAGCTAATAAATTAATGTCAAAACAACACTAGTTTACTTCTTCACTGCACCCTTAACTGGGGATTCCCATTGCTGTTAAATTGGTGCCAAGATCATCAGTTGACAGCATCCATTACTGTGAGTCCTGCCAGCAACAATTATTAGTGGTGTTTCAATGGTGATTTTCTAGTTCCTTCCTTACCTTTGCAATTCATCATTAAGGAAGAGCTATCATTTCTCCCCTATTTTGATATTCAGTTGTTCACTTATATCAGTAGGAAATTATGAATATTTAGATTTTTATCTTGGTTGTAATAAAATATTTTGTTGCTTGAATTGTTCCAACTTTGGCCTTAGAGAGTTCTTCCAGGTTTGACATGCCCCATTCTTTTTGAACACTTCCACACTTTTGTCACTACATGATGCTCCAGTCTCATCTTGTGTTTTTTATATACCAGCCCAGGAACTAACTATCTGAAGTCTTGGTTTCTTTTACTAGAGAATTATAGTTACAATCCAAGACTTGAGTAATGGCCGAAACCGGTTTGGCTCAGTGGTAGAGCGTCGGCCTGCGGACTGAAAGGTCCCAGGTTCGATTCCGGTTAAGGGCATGTATAGTGGTTGTGGGGGGCGATGTTTCTCTCTCATTGACGTTTCTAGCTCTCTCAATCCCTCTCTCCTCCTCTCTGTAAAAAATCAATAAAATATATTTTTTAAAAGACTTGAATAATGGTGCTCATTGTCACTATGATGTTATTGCTTCTAGACCTTCTCACTAAACAGAACTTGAACATACCCATGTACATACATACATGTACATGCAAACACACTTACACACAATATACCTTACGTACCTGTATTTATTTCCATATTTATCTTAAATTACTTTTTATGCCAGATCTCTGAGTTAAAGCTTTAGGAAGGTAAACCATATTTATCCCATAACTAGTTTGACCTGCCCCAAACTCAGCTGTACCCTTGAGTGTACAGTAGAGATTAGACTCTCAGAAGACACATATTAATTCTACTGCTGCAATCCTTACCTGTAACGGAGAGGAAAGAGAACTCTAATTTTTACCCTGGACTATAGGGTATAAATTTGTACCCAGGCCTATGATATTGGAAGGCAAAGTGATCAGTCAACAAGTAATGTCTGTTTGCATCAAATATTGATAGGGGCAGAAATAGAATGTTGGGGAACGAGCTATAATTATAAGAAATATTAATCATGCTCTGTTAAATGTGATTGTTTTGTTCTGATTAAAGAAGGCTGCTGGCAGCTGCACTTGGGTCCTGGGAACTCACCTGGAAATGCATCCCATCCTCCCATTTGGAGCTGCCTGTTATCATGGAAAGATTAATAACTTTGCTGCAGAAATCAGAATCATCAACCCTTTGAAGACCCACAGCCCTTGCATATCACTAAGCCCTTTGAAGATGCCCAGCTCTCTGCTTACTGGTTAACTGCCGATTTGGTATACCCTTTGGCTACTTTCCAATGTAATCTTTTGTCCTTTTTACCCAATATAAGCAGCTGGCTTATGGGGTGGGGAGGGGCACAACAGATTTTTGTGGATGATCTCTGCTCTCCCCATACTGCTGGCAGTACTGAAATTGTGGATGGAAGGGGCCACATGCTAACCTGCCAAGCTCAAGGAAGGCCTGCATGGCAGTCTTGCAAACTCAGAGACCTAAAGTAACCACAAAGGATGGTCCGAAATTAAACTTTAACTAAAAGCAGTTATGGTGGGTAGTTACATACTAGGTTGGTTTCTTCACTGACAAGGTCAACCTTTACTTTAACCGAGCCTATCTCTCTTTTTGCATTTATAATAATATACGCTGGAAATGTCTGGGTAACTTGTAACTTCCCTTTTTCTGAACCCCTTGGGGCACAACCTAATGTGCTGGGCTTCAGGACACATACCACAAATTCCTTCATTATTATCATGCTAATTGTTCCTGCACCCACCTAAGTATGTGTACAATGTACACTGTACATCATTTTACTTTTTATCCAATCCCAGGGGTCCCCCCGGCCTTTGCTTTCTCAGGCCTCTCTACTCTATCACCAGTGGATTTCATGTAACCCACCCATGTCCCTTCCTTTGATTGCAAAATATAAATATAAATGTAACCTGCCATTCTCCGGAGCATTATCTCAATTCCTTGAGGTTCTGTTTCCCGGCATATGTCAACAGTTTGGCTCAAATAAACTAACAAAAATTCTTTATAGGTTTCAATGGTTATTTTTACATTAACAGAATAAATGCTCATATATGATTCAACCCTGCCTCTGTCTAATTGACTCAAGTAGTGACATGCAGTATGGATCCATTGATTGTCTAGTTATAGCATGTCTATGTTACACTTATCCTTCTGGCAAATATAGAGTGACAGGTTCCAGATTTACCCTCCCACCTAAAACAACTAAAAAACTAAACAATTAAATTAAAAAACTGGATTATTTATGACACATCCATTTTTCTATACAGTGAATATCAAGTAATGAAGAACAGTGATCCCTGAGAGAACAGATGTTAAATATTTTGATTTAATATAAATTTATCCCATATAGTAGTTGTAAGAAAAAAATAACTATTTTGTATTGTAAATACTGAATCAATCCATGTCTACAAATATTATTATACACATAGAAATGTTATTTCTAAGTAGCTAACTGGCCCATAATACTCCCTAGCAATCTTGCTCCTGCTTAAGACCATAAGTCATTACAATAAGACTACAATTTATCCCCAGATTACTAAATACATACCATCAGATATTATACAGTTTGAAAGAAATGAAAACATAGCATCTTGACTCTCTTAACTCCCTTGGGGAGAAGATAAACAGAAGATGACAGAGCTTAGCAAAGAAAGAGACTGAAGATAATTACTGCCAGAAGCATTACAGATTAGTTCACAAAGAGGTGTAGCTATAAGACAATGGTCAGCAAATTCATTAGTCAACAGAGCCAAATATCAACAGTACAACGATTGAAATTTCTTTTGAGAGCCAAATATTTTAAACTTAAACTTCTTCTAACACTACTTCTTCAAAATAGACTCGCCCAGGCTGTGGTATTTTGTGGAAGAGCCACACTCAAGGGGCCAAAGAGCCACAGGTGCAGACCACAGCTATAAGAGAAAGAATCAGTTGTCCAGAATTTTAAAATCACCATATCTTTAAAATCCACTACCAAATGAGCACTTACAGCAGTTTTATATGCAGCTTCAATGTAAAACACAAGGTTCTGGATGAAATTGACTTCATCTAGGCTGTGGATGATATGAAGTCCTGAGAAAAAAGAGAATAAAGACAAAGAGGTGGTCAATGTGATATTGTTATAATTAATGTAGTTATTAATTAATTAACAGGAAAGGAGCACAGGGAAGGCTGGATAATAATAAACACATTATCTGGGACCACCGGGGAAATTTAAAATAATTGTGCTGTCCAGATTTCGAGACCACTGAGTCAACCAAAACTCAGTTATCTGTCACTACTGAGACAATTTAGGACAATTGAGCTATCCTGGGTCCGAGAAGAATGTGCTTCGATGGTCAGTGAGATCGCAATCAATGGGACATTCAAACCATCATCATTGGAGTATTTGGATAGCATACATAAGTTCAGAAAATCAAAATAACTTTTAAATGAGTACAGAACCCAAAACAGCAAGGTTAAAATATTAAACGGCAATTTTTACCCAAGAAAGGTTACTACTATACTTTATCAGTAATACCTGGAAACAGGGCATCGGCCAGAATAGGTGTGTAGACATGGCCACTGAAAGCAAGGCAAGATTTTATATTTAACATCCTAAACAAAGGGGTTTCCTCTTGCTCTCTCTTCCTTGTTGATAGTGTCTTGACTCCTGGCTTATGGGACTCTCAGGCTCTGCACTTGTCCACATGGCCCATAGCATGGGGTTCCTAGACACAATGGACTAATGAATAGACTTGAACTAGCCCCGTGGTTGGCAAGCTGTGAGCCACATGCATCTCTTTGGCCCCTTGAGTGTGGCTCTTCCACAAAATACCATGGCCTGGGCGAGTCTATTTTGAAGAAATGGTGTTAGAAGAAGTTTAGGTTTAAAAAATTTGGCTCTCAAAAGAAATTTCAATTGTATTGTTGATATTTGGCTTTGTTGACTAATGAGTTTGCCAACCACTGAACTAGCCTGATATTACAGTGGACTCAACTTCACTATGGAACAGAAACTCTGGACACTAGCTTCAATTTTCAGTCTGCTGGAACCCAGATACACAATTTCAAGGACTGCTTTAAGAGAAATGGTACTTTGGAAATGTAGGAATATAACAACATGCAAATAAAAATCACTCATTCTCTCATGCAAGTCTTAGAAAATTCTTTTTCTCATCCTATATAATAAAGAGATAATATGCAAATTGACCATCACTGCAACACACAAGATAGCCACCTTCATATGGTCAAAGATGGTGGCCCCCATGTAGACACAAGATGGCTGCCACAAGATGGTCGTCACAAAATGCCACCACAAGATGGCCAACAGGGGAGGGGAGTTGTAGGCAATCAGGCCAGCAGGGGAGCTCAGTTGGGAGGAACCAGGCCTGAAAGGGAGGGCAGTTGGGGTGATCAGGCCAGCAGGTGAGGGCAGTTGATGGCAATGAGGCCTGCAGGGGAGGACAGTTTGGGATGACCAGGCCTGCAGGGGATGGCAGTTTGGGATGACCAGGCCTCAGGGGAGGGCAGTTTGGGGGGACCAGATCAGAAGGGGAGGGCAGTTAAGGGGAACCAGGCCTGCAGGGGAGGGCAGTTAGGGGCAACCAGGCCAACAGTGGAGGGCAGTTGGGAGCAACCAGTACTGCAGGGAAGGACAGTTGAGCAGGGACCAGGCCTACAGGGGAGGGCAGTTAGGGGGGACCAGGCTGGCAGGGGAGAGCAGTTAGGGGCAACCAGGCCAGCAGGGTAGGACAGTTAGGGGCAACCAGGCCAGCAGAGGAGGGCAGTTGGGGGAGACCAGGCCAACAGTGGAGGGCAGTTGTGGGCAATCAGGCCTGCAGGGGAGGGCAGTTGAGGGTGACCAGGCCAGCAGGGGAGGGCAGTTAGGGACAATTGGGCCAATAGGGGAGCAGCTAGGCATCAATCAGACTGGCAGTAAAATGGTTAGGGGCAATCAGGCAGGCAGGCAAGCGGTTGAGAGCAAGCAGACCTGGATTGTGAGAGGGATGTACAACTGCCCGTTTAGCTGAGGGGTCCCAGATTAAAGAGGTTGCAGGCTGGGCTAAGGGACACCCCGCCCCTGGGCACAAATTCCATGCACCAGGCCTCTAGTGATGTCATAAGAACCTGACTCCCAGCACCCAGTAGGGAAAGGGATGCCCTATTTTCACCAGTGGATACTCTAAGGCCACTGATAACAAATGACCACTATAGGCTTTACAGGCAGTCATAATGACTAAATGACCCCACTACTCCCAAGTAATCCTACTCTTCTTAGATACTTTGATTCTTAAACCATAAATATATCACAGATCAGTCTTAGGCTAATCTTCAACTAAGTGAGATACCAGCAGATTTTAACATGGAAGAATTTTAACTGTTATTTGTAGGTATTAATAGGAAGTCTCAGACTCCTGATTCTATAGGTAATTAATTTATAATGTCCTTTAATGTCCAAACCTAGGCATTTGGAAAAAGATAAATCATAAAAGAATTGGAAAGAATCTAAATACTGAGTAAGAAGTAGATAAACATTATGATTCTAAGGAAAACTTAAAACTATATATTTTGAGTAATGATGAGAATTGATTTAAATATAAGCTACAAAAAGATAGTATATCTATCTATACAATAGAGGAATATGCAAATTAGCCAGGACACCATAACATCAGGACCGAACAGCAGGAACCTGAGGCAGCATGGCACCTGGCTGGGGCAAGAGACCTCAGATTGCACCTCCCGCCCCATGGGGCTTGACAAGGGACCTCAGGACATGCCCCCCACCCAGCACTTCTTGAAGAACACATTTGAATACACAGAAATGAAATGAGGTAAGACACGGCAAAGCCCAAGATGGCAGTTTTATATAAAGCAAACTAAAACATTCAGGGCTCTAGAAATGAGGTCAACTAAATGGTCTACTCCACAGTAGATTGATTTATGCTCACTTAAAATTAAGCCTTAACCCCCTCATTTTTAAAAATCACAGTATTGATATATAATTCACATACAATACAATTCATCCATTTCAAGTATGTAGTTTAATAATTTTAGGGAATGCAGTATTTTGCAACCATCACCATAATTTAAAAACATTTTAATTACCCCCAAAAGAAACTCATTAGCAGTCACTCCCCATTTCCCTTCAACAATCACATCCAATTAAGCAATCACTAATCTACTTTAAGTTTCTATAGATGTATCATACTGGACATTCATATAAATGCAATCATACAATATGTCTGGGTTCTTTTACTTAGCATGTTTTCAAGATTCATCTATGTAGTAGCATATATCAATATGTCATTGCATTTTATTGCTATACATATTGTGTGGATGCATCACATTTTATTCATCACATTTTATTATATAGGATAGCAAAAAAATTCAAAGTAAATGCCCATTTACTTTGAATTTTTTTGCTATCCTATATAATAAAATGTGATGGGCATTTACTTTGAATTTTTTTGCTATCCTATATAATAAAAAGGAAATATGCAAACTGACCATCACTCCACCACAAAGATGGTGGTGCCCACAGCAGAGGCAGGGTTTCTGTAACACAATATGGCTGCGCCCACAGCAGAAGCAGGGTTTCCATAACACAAGATGGCTGCCCCCATAGCTGAATCCAAGTTCCCCTAATGAGCCTTAATGAGCAATCAGCAGGTACCTGAGGCTGTGCCCCACCCCCAGGGGGCTTAACCGGGGACCTCAGGCCATGCCCCCCACCCTGGCACCAGGCCAGAGGACATCAGGCCACAACCCCCTCCCATTAGGGCTTGATGGAGGACCTCAGGCCACAATCCTCACCTGGCAGGGCTTGATGGGGAACCTCAGGCCATGCCCCCCACCCCGGCAGGGCTTGATGGGGGGCCTCAGGTGATGCCCCCTGCCCCAGTGCCAGGCTGGGGGAATTGAGGCCGTGCCCCCTGCCCTGGTGCCAGGCAGGGGGAACCTCAGGCCGTGCCCTCCACCCAGTGGGGCTTGAAGAAGGACCTCAGGCTGTGACCCCACCCTAGCACCAAGCCAGGGGACCTGAGGCTGCACCCCCTTCCCTAGCACCAGGCTGGGGGACCTGAGGCCACATCCCCTGCCTGGTGGGACTTGATGGGGGACCTCAAGATGCACACCTCTACCCCAGTGCTAGGCCAGGGAATCTCAGGCTGCTCCTTTCACCTCGGGCCAGGGGATCTCAAGCCATGCCCCCTGCCCAGCAGGGCTTGACATGGACCTGAGGCTGCACCTCCCACCTGGCAGGGTTTAATGGAGGATCTCAGGCCATGCCCCCCACCCAGCTGGGCTTGACAGGGGACTTCATGGCATGCCCCCCATCCCAGCGCAGGCTGGGGGACCTCAGGCCATGTCCCCCACCCAGGCGCCAGGCTAGGGGGCCTGAGACTTCACCCCTCGCCTGGTAGGCTTGACAAGAGTGGGACTGGCCGGGTCTGGATCTAGCCCAATGAGAAAGAGGGCTGGCCGGGTATGGATATCATGCAATTTTAAGGCACATGTGGGTGGGTGGGGACTTGACTCTGGGTCCCATGGTGCGCCCCAGACTCTGACAGGAAGAAGATTTTCATATACATTTTACTAATTTTCTTTCTTCTCTGACACTTCTAGTATAGAAAAAGGGCAAATAGCAATATTAAAATATTTCCTCTAATTAATCCCATTTTAATGTGCATGAATTTTGTGCACCAGGCCACTAGTTGTAGATAATATGTAGATAATATATTATAAGAACTCTATAGATATTGATACTCTCTCCTCTATGGAGACTGCTTTTCTTTGCTTATTTATTTGTTTAGTGACTTGGCTGGACAACTTCAGTGAATTTTCTCCATAGTATGCAGCCTCTGATGTTGTTCCTCAGAGGTTGTATGCAGCCTTGGACATAAACACTGTCACTCCAGGAAGACAGTAGTTTCAGTTTTAGCAATTGTCTCTTTCTCTGATCTATTAAGTGTCTGCCTCTGCTTAAATACCCAGTTGTTTATCTCCCCTGATTACCAGCTGATTGTTCTACTAAATTGTACAATGCCCTGAGTCATAAATTGTTCCATCTATCAATAATTAAATTCAGGCCCAATTTCAGGTGGTCTTTGAGACCAATCTTTGAGACTTCTTCTGACCCTAGAGAGGGCTGTTTGGAGTTGACTCTTCTCTGTAAAAACTTCTAGATAGTCTATGGGTTAGCTTGTTGCTTTTTTAAATTTATTAATTTGAGAGACAGAAAAGTGGAAAGAGAAAGAGAGAATGAGACACAGAGAGAAACATTGATTTGTTGTTCTGCTTATTTATGTATTCATTGGTTGATTCTTGTATGTTACTTGATTAGGATTGAACCTTCAACCTTGGCATATCAGGATAATGTTCTAACCAACTGACCTACCCGACCAGAGCTCTCCAGGTTTTGTAATGGGACTCCTGTTCTGACCCTGGGGTGTCTGCAAGCTAACCCCTTCCAGAAGCACTGCCAGGATTAGCTTCTTAGTCTTATTGAGCTACCAGCCTCCTCTTCATTTCTTGAAGGCAAAATCTAGTTTTTTTGTGAGTACCTTTAGGCTTCAACTTTTCCACACTCTTTTCCAAATAATGTCAGTTCTCTTGGGAAGAGTGATGATGGAGCTTTCTGTTATTCTTGTCTCTTTCTCCCAAAGCTACTAGAAAGTTGGGCCAGGACTATTATTCTGGGCCTGCTCTGCTTAGTGTTAACTTCTACTCCATGAGTGGGCCTGGGGGATAGATAGGGAATTCCAAATCTCTTCGTTATTCTTGGCTAGACTACAGCTTCTGCAAGATAGAGTTGGGGAGAATGCTGGCAACCTCTCAGGAAGATCTCATAGATCTAGAATGGAAACTAGAGGAAAGGGAAGCTTTTAATCTTATCTATATCAACCTTGAGTATTGCTTCTGTCATGATGCATTTGGGGCAGGGAAGGGAGTAGATGGTACCCCAAATACCACAATTTCTCACTGCTCTTACCAAAATTTTGATTTCCTTGAATAAATGATTCTATTCTCTACTTGCTTTATGTCCTTAGGACAATTTCCAGTGAATATAATTTTTTTTAATTAATTTTCATTATTTATGGTCATTTTGCTGGAGAGAAGATCTGTTGAAGTCAACTTCTAAGTCTCTCCTTTTAAAAAGGTTGAGATTTTTAAGAATTAAAAAATGTACAGAGGACCAGCTGGTGTGGCTCAGTGGGTTGAGTGTTGGCCTATAAACCAGGAGATCACAGTTCAATTCCCAGTTAGGGAACATGCCCAGGTTGTGGGCTCAATTCTCAGTAGGGTAAGTGCAAAAGGTAGCCAATCAATGATTCTCTCTCTTCATTGATGTTTCTATCTCTCCCTCCCTTTCCCTTCATCTCTGAAATCAATAAAAATATGCATTTTTAAAGGAGCACAAAGAATTACTAAAATTTCCATGAAAATCTCTCATATTCTACCAGTAAATTACCTCTTACATTTATCTTTTTCATCCTAAAGACAACTGCCTTACATGAGTTTTCCATCATTTCTTGCCTAAAGTATTTCACTAACTTTCTACGTAGTCTTCCAACGTAATTTTCTTCCCCATTCAATCTATCCTCCTTCTAATGGAGTTAAGTATCTAAAACTTTCTAACTATTTAACTTGAGTGGCACTCTACTGATTCTAATATAAAATCCAAACTACTTAGCATAATACACAGGCACTTAAACAGCTAGCCCCAACTTTCTAGCTTCATCTCTTGCCATTTTTTCATATCTATCTTTCACTCTAAACATAGAAGTACCTTTTAAACTTCTGTGCTTATAGTCATGCTATTCCCTTCCCTTTTCTGACTTATTAATTTCTACTTATTCCTACTTATTTCTTAAAGGCCTGATAAAAAAAATATCTACCTTATTCTAAGAACCTATCAAAGTCAACTAATTGAGTTGAAAATCAAATGTTAAGTCAGGAACCAACAAAATGGCATTTATTGCATGAATGTATATATGTCTTATAAGCCTCTATAGTACATTTCTGCTGCTTTCCTGGGCTCAAAATACAAAACCACAAAGAATATTTAGACACTTTTTGCTTTGTAAAAACATATTCCAGAGTTGATATTAAAAGGATATTAGAAATGAAGTTATAGTTGCCATTCTATTTAAATAAGTACAACCAAAAGTATATTTATTCGGTAAGAAACCACCCTTCCAAAAGAAGGGAATATATAGGTAGCCATATTATAATTTTAAGAAAAGGTTATTCAGCCTCTGAGCTGTTTGTCCAGGGAGCGGAGGGTGGAGGGAGGCTTTATTACCAAAAATATACAAGAAAAGGAGAAGAATATTCTGGGGTAATTCTCACCCTGAATGTTTTTAGTACCAAGGAGCCCTTGGTGCTCAATGCTTTTAGTAACCAGATAGGAAGATAAAGAAATTAAAATATTAAAAATGCGGTATTGTGACAAGTGTTATTTACTACCTCAGGAAAATCTGGCAAAGGTCCTGTTTCATTTACAAACTGAATATAATTAGATTCACTATCTTCCCCAACTTGTGAGAAATCAAAGGGAATTATGTTGATTCTTATGTTTTCAATTTTCAGGTAAAGCAACTAAAAGTAGTAACAAAACCATCCAAAAAGGGTATGATATTCAATAATAAAAAGTAAACATTTAAATTCTGATTCCTAAATTAATTCCCTTAAATACAAGTTAGTTGCCTAGAGAAAGATGCCTTGTTCATAATCCTATATAATAAAAGTGTAATATGCAAATCGACCAAATGGAGGAGTGACCAGTTGGGGGTGGGGCCAGCAAGCAGGTGGCACCAAGCCAGCCAAGGAGTGTGCCAGCGAACAGAGGGAGGGGACAGAAATGGGATTGGGGGAAGGCAGCAACCAGTGGCAGGGCATGGCACCATCCTGATTGTCTGCCCAGTTGCCTCCCACAGAGGCCATGGGCAGCAGTCGGGCAATTCAGGGTGGGCCTGACTGCTCACCATCCCCAGATAGGCCTACTGGGGTCACCTCCCACAGAGGGAAGCCAGACTAAGCCATCATTTGGACATCCCCTGAGGGCTCTTGGACTGCGAGAGGGTGCAGGCTGGGCTGAGGGGCCCTCCCCAGTGCACAAATTTTTATGTACTGGGCCTGTAGTGTATCTATGTGTGTGTATAGAATGAATATATATATATATATAAAAGTTTAAGTGACCAGTCAACTGTTCGACTAATCAAAGGAGCCCTGTGACACACACTAACCAGGGGGCAGATGTGCAATGTAGAAGCTGCCCCCTGGTGGTCTTTATGCTCCCACAGCAGGAGCGCTGCTCAGCTGACCAGGATGAGCGGAGCCAGGATGAGTGGGAGCAGCTCCTCCCTGCTGCCTGCCATTTCCCTCACTACTATATACTTCAGGGGATGTTGGATGCCAGTTTCAGCCCAATCCCCACAGACCACACCAAGGGACCCCACTGGTGCACAGATTTGTGCACCGGGCCTCTTGTATACTGATAAAGAGTTGTATAAAGTAGGTGATTCAGTTTATGTTAATATTAACTATAGGCTTGTCAGTGCATAGCATGAGAATAAGCAATAAACTTAGTCCTTACCCATTTCATAGTATCTGAGGATTAATAAAAGATAAAAACTAGATCTCAAAAAAATTGTTTCTCTTTATAAAACTTGCAAAATATCATGCTTTCAATGTGCATCTTTGAGCAATGTAAAGAGCTTTGTTTTCTAGAGAAGCCATGTGTGGTAGAGCAAGTACTCCACACTGCTGTGGCTCCAACTACTCTGTCCTTGTACTGACCTGAGGCAGTCATTTGTGCTAAGAAGAGCAGGTACACCGAAGTAGCATCCAATTGCAGGTGTCCCCACTGGTCGTCACCCACTACAGTGGCACAGGTTTTTGTGTTGTACTTGGCATGGAGGCTATCCTGGGTACTCTGACTGTATTTGAAGGACTCTACTTTATCCACCTGAAAAAAAAAAGAAGACATAGAAGGCTCTGCCAAAAAAGCAACCCATATGACACACTTCTATAGTACTCTAACTAAAACAATTAGTTCCTGAAGCTTAGATTTGATTATGTGTGCACCTGATATATAATAGTAACTATTATACCTTTAAATGTGGTTCATTAAATTAGTGGTTTTAAACCTATTTGATAAGGTAGAAAATGAAAATATCTAAAAATTTGAAAAGTAGAAAAGAAGGAAAAAAAGAAAGAAGAAATGATGGCTGTGAGATAACCATAGAGAGAGCACTAGTAAAAAAAAAAACAGTTTAGAAGTCTGGAGTTTATTTCTTTTATTTTAGACTTGTTACATGACTGTGGTCATTTTATTAATTTGGACCCCAATTGCTTCTTCTAATAAAATATTGGTTTCAAGAAAATTAATTCAGATTCAAGGTGTGCAACTTATGTAAAGTTCTTTTACAACAAAGGGAAAACACATTTTTTTGTAAAACACTTTTTAATGAAAAAAAATATCATAAACCCCTAAAAGATAAATCATGTCCTGCTAAAATTATTTGCAGTATGTTCAGTAACTCCTCAAATAGGCAAGAAAGAGACAATCCAAAAGAAATAGTCAAAAGACCTAATAGGCAATTTAATTAAAGACAAATGCAAAGTTTTAATATGCACATGAAAGGATGCTCAACTTAACTCAAGATGAAGAAAATGCAAATTAATGCAAGGAGATATAAATCCTTGGCTCCTGATCTCCAATCATAAAATCTGAAACACTTATAAAGGATTTTTACCCTAAGTTTGTAACCAACATTTATTTTATATGGAGCTATTTATAGTTTTTATTAATTTTATTAGTGTGAAAATATGTGTTTCCCTTCAGAGAGATTAATGTTTTTAATAACAGAGTGCTGCTCTGGACCTGTTGAGGGCATAACATACTGTAGAGTATATAAATGGTAGAACCTTCTAAAATCTGAAAAATTCTGAATTCTAAAATTTATCTGGCCCCAAGGATTTCAGATAATGGCTTATAAAACTATCATATTTTACTCAATATACATAATTGCATGTACAGCAATGCAAAGTATACTAAAAAGCATTTGCAGAGGGGCATATAAAAGACCATGAGGAAGCATTCCAGTGGATGGTAAAATCATGGATGACATTGCTGCCTTCAGTTCTACAACTTTTCTAAAATTAGTGTCTACTATTTGTGAAAGAATATGTGTGTGTGTGTGTGTGTGTGTGTGTATGTGTGTGTGTGTGTGTGTGTGTGTGTTTGTGTATTATGAACATCCCCTAAGGGGTAAAAATACTATTACAATGTGCTTTTATTAGAGAGGGAGCTGTTAACAATAGCATACCTGTCTGATCATGCAGTGCAGCAGTCCCCTCATCAGCTTCACTACACTCTGCAAAAATAAATGGAAGGAAGACTATTATAAATATCCCTGGATGCAGGAGCACTTACTCAGCAACTGCAGTTGGTAGATGACCTTTTGAGAACAAGTAACCCTATCCTGGGCTCCTATTTACATGGCATTTACTTTATATAAATACACAGAAGACTAGATTGCAGCTAAAAGGGGAATCAAAAGCTGCAGTTGGAGACTCCTTCAAGTTAAATAGTTCAAGTTCCAACAGGTTTATATAAAACTAAGACAACCATCCTATTAGAGGACATGCCACCTGGAGACAATGGGCAAGTCAGCTCAAAATTCATAGGCTATAAGGATATTCTAAAATATATCCTATAAAAAAATAAAATAAAATACATCCTATGTCCTACAAAAGCCGACATAATCACTGTTATTTTTTTTTCTAAACTAGTCAATTCTTATCTTCAAGAGTCCTCAGCAATACTTTTCTGGACATTTTCCTTAGAGAAGAAAATGATCTCCAATTCAGAATAATTATAAAGAGGAATCATTAATACAATTCAACTCCTTTTCTATTTAAAAAAAAATCCACAAACTACTTAAGACTTAAGTCATTATTTTACTTATAAGGACCTGGCAATTTCTAAGATAGTTTTCTAATCACAGTACTCCAAAATAATGACTAGCAACTATGTACATACTAGTTGGTATAATATAATATAGTAATAATAATTACATTTCATTATAATATAGTATATTAATATGATACACTACATGATACTATACTCTATACTATACTATACTATACTATACTATACTAGTTATACTACATGACACCAGAAGGACCCATCACCAATGGCATGGATAGGCAATATGTTTTGGAAGAATATCACCAAACAGCTTCTCCATTTCTCTACGTTTTCTGTGTCACAGTTCAGAAGAAATACAACCAGGATACTAAAGAATGTTGGCTCAGAGGTGGCTTAAGGACACCTCTGCAAAATAATTATTCTTTCAAAACATTCAAGCAATAGGCATGATAAAGATAAGTACCTATTAATTATGCTCTAACTCTTTATGAAGTACATTATTGAGGAAAAATAATAATGTTTCCTTGGGGAAGTACCTTTTAAAAGCCATTTCTACTTATTGATGGTTTCCTCCCCTTACAGAGGAAGAAATGAGAGACAAAGAAAAGAGGTGGGGAGAGAGAGGGAAAAAGAGGGGATGAAAGTGCATGATTATGTCACCTTTTAAAGCAAGCATGAAGCATTTATTATAAAGTAATGAAAATGATTGCAACCTCTATAATAAAATCCCTATCACTATTTTGACCCTAATTAAAGACATCTTTTAATATACCCTGTTACAGAAAGCATTTAACATACCCCTCATTCTGCGGGGAGACTTCATTTAATTCCAAATTATCTTCTACATGTCAAACATAGACTTCCATAAAATCTTTCAAATCTCTTTGCCACTCCCATCTACATGTTCTTTAATTTAAACAGAAAACCTGGGGAATCACAGACCAGGCAGAAAATTCCTCATTGCCATCCATTTTTGTCTTCCAGAAATGGCCATTGTCAGCCATTTCTGTCATCAAGTTTCAACTTTCAAGTTGGAATAGGATAAAATTAATAGGAAGCATGGGAAGATAAAAATAAGAGGAGGTATCCGTACGTTGTATTCCCCCCAAACTGGCCATATTATCAAGCAGGGGTAGGAGGTGGTATTGATTATGTTTATTCATATATCAGGGATTGTAACCACATCAGATTACACCCTCCTCTCACCTACTTTTTTTTTTTTTTTTTTTTTTTTTTTTAGGATAATAGATCTATGTATTTGTGAATTGATTATGTAAGGGTATAGAATAGAACCTCAGTTCTCAAACTTAATTCATACCGCAAGGCTAGTCGAGGAGCTAATTGTTCTAAAACTGAAACATTTTCCCCCATGAGAAGTAATGTAAATGGAATTAATTTGTTCCAGACCTCCCAAATGATTCTGTTTAAACTTTCTTATATATAGAACATGTCTAATGTATTATTTAATCTAGAAATGAATACTTCTTTTCTTAAATTTATTGGACTAACCCTGCCAGCCTTAAGCGAATAACTTTCAGCACTCTTTCCAGGACTGTGTTTCAGGAGGTCAGCATTCAGCATCTCTGCTTGCTGACACTGGCTAATTTATCTAAATCAACAACAGGTTTTCTGCCTCTTCAATTGCCTATGATCATTGTTTCTTTCACTACATTAGCAACGTTAGCACACTTGATGGTCTCCTTACGTTTTAAAATTGTGCTAATCTTCCATTTTGCCAGCAACAAACAAAACCCATAAAAATATTCATAACACAATTTCCTGGGATATTAGCAGTAAAATTACTCATACTGGCACATTCTCTCCTTTGTTTGAGACATGTTTTCCATGAACTTGGTCAATAACTGAATTGTTAGAGATGAAAGACATTTGAGAATTGAGGTTTGACTCTTTAACTATGTACAACCATTATCTATGTAAATATTAGTATCTCTTTCTCTCTCCAGGTATATATACAATATAATCAGATGTATAATGTTTCAGCATCTAAAACATTCAAAGCATGAGGATGGCAGCAGATGAAAACATGGTACTTGGATATTCCAATAACCCCATAAAAATTACAACTAAAATACAGGATAACCATCATTCAGAACCCCTTGAAATCTGGCTGAATGGAAGTCCTACAATTACAGAAAGAAAGAAGAAAATACACAGATTGGCAAGAGGAGTGGAGGTGAGGAACAACTTGTCTAACACCCACATGTGGCATTTTTTTTTAATCCAGAGGGATATCTTGACTGTGGAGGCCAGCTAGGACTATGGCTGAGTGAAACAGAGAATGCTAAAGACCCAGACAGTTTCTCTTAAAGGACCAGCACATGGACTTAATCAGACTCACTCCCTCTGAGCTCTAGCACTGTGGCAGCAGCTTGAAAGGATACAGGGACATATGGGGAGGAACTAAAATACCTGGCATCACAGCAAGAACTTGGGGGCAGCTTTCTCCCAGACAAAATTGCTTGCAGAGATCATTGTTCCTATGCTGAGACCTCCCATGCAACAAAGATGACCGCCAGGTAGCCATATCTGACTCTTCATCAACCTGGCTCTCACTGTTTACTCCCCTGAGATTCCATGGTGATTCCATGGTGATTCCATGAGACCCCCATCCTACTCAATTTGCAGCCCTACCCAAACTGTTTGCAGAGGCTTTTCTGTACGAATGGTCTGTCCTGGCTCAGGCTTCAGACTTTCCTAAAGTCTCTCAAACAAGTAGCAGCTGGACTCAGCATGCCCCACACCTCTTGATAAGCAAACCCCAGGCCCAGCACTAGCAGCATCCTCCAAGGTTCACAGTTTGGCTTCTCCTGAGCACCTTCAAGCTCAACACAAGTAACAGCCTTATGCAGGTCACTCTATAGCTTGTGCAGGGTGGCCCCAGGCAGGATACAGGCAATGGTAGACTCTGCACCTTCCCGAAGGCCCCAGAGCCAATACATCTGGTGGACAGCTTCAGACCACGCAAGATTACAACTCTACACATCCACAAGAGACATGCTCAAGGGGCAGACTCGGTAATCACCAAAGCCCCACTGAAGCAAGTCCTGCTCCACAGGGGTGTCTCTTGCACAGCAGCTCTTCCATTGTAGTAGCAGCTGGTTCTCACAGCCAATTGGTGGGGGCTCAGTTTCTCCCACTGATGCCAACAGCAATCAAGGCTCAACTATAACAAGACAGTGCACACACTCTAGGGGTACACCTAGAGTGCCCAGCTCAGGTGACTGGGAAGGGTGAGCCACTGGACCATACAGGACACCTAATATACAAGGCCATTCTACCAATTCCAGGTGACATAGCAGTCCTACCTAATACATACTAGGTGTACCAGTTAATAATGCGGATTTTTTTCAACAGATGGAGTTACACATATGTTGATATATATGTGATTTGATATGTATGCTATTTTGTTGTATAGATAGCAAGCTTCAAAACTTCATATGTCAAATTTGCTGAAGGTATTAACATCATAGATATTTTTACACTTAAAATGTCAAATTTTGTGCAAAAAAAAGCATTTCTGGGAAGTTTTAATTCATTACTTTATTTTGAAGAAAAAGTTATTGTATACTTTGGGAAGCTTATAGTGAGCATGCCCCATCCCATGATACTTGTGAACACTGATTTAAATGCTTTAAAAGTGATTATTTCTATATGAAAGACAAAAAGAATGTCCAGGTCAACCGAAAAAGTTTGAAGACCAACAATTATAAGCATTATTGGATGAAGATGCATGTCAAACTCAAAAACAACTTGCAGCAAGATTAAACATTGCTCAGCAAACAATTTCTGATCATTTACAAGCAATGGAAAATATTTTAAAGGAAGGAAAATGGGTGCCACATCAACTAAATGAAAGACAAATGGAAAACTGAAAAGTCATCAGCAAAATGTTGCTTCAAGGGCATGAAAGAAAGTCTTTTTTGCATTGAATTGTGACTAGCGGTTATAGTGGATTTATTTTGAGAATCTCAAATGCACAAAATCATGGGTTGATCCAGGTCAAGCATCAACATCGACTGCAAGGCCAAATCGCTTCAGAAAGAAGATGCTCTTTGTTTGGTGGGATTGGGAAGGTGTGGTGCATTATGATTTTCTAATACCAGGTGAAACTGTTTTTGTTTTGGGGGTTTTTGTTGTTGTTGTTGTTTATATTTTATTGATTTTTCACAGAGAGGAAGGGAGAGAGATAGAAAGCTAGAAACGTTGATGAGAGAGAAACATCGACCAGCTGCCTCTTGCACACCCCCTACTGGGGATGTGCCCTCAACCCAGGTACATGCCCTTGACCGGAATCAAACCTGGGACCTTTCAATCCGCAGACTGACGCTCTACCACTGAGCCAAACCGGTTTCGGCTAATACCAGGTGAAACTGTTAATACTGATGCCTACTTACAACAAATAATCAAATTTGAACCACACTT